AGTGCCGAATGTTGGGATCCTGCAGACCAGTTCTGGTCGTTGAGAACTGATCGAACATGGTCTGCCGTACCACAGGGTACGTGTAGGTCTCAATTCGGTAACCTTGGTTGGTCAATGCTGTTACCAACCTCTCACGTTGCATCTCATTTAGGTCGGACTGCACTAGGAAGAGGAGAGCTAGGAGATTATCATTTAGAGGAAACGCTCTTCGATGATTATCAAGGCGTTCCTTGTTCCATGTTTCGAAGAAACGTGCGGCGTATGTGTCTCTCTCGGTTGCATCCTGTAGGCGCAAGAAGGTTTGATCTGCCTGCACAGCCTGCATGAAATCCGGATGGGCATCTTCCAGAGATATCTCTGGTAAGAGATCCATCCATGAGTTTCTCACGCGCTGTAGCACGATCTCAAACTTAGCAATCCAAGTCACAAAGTCTTGGTTGCCCTTCCATGCCTTGAATAGGCCGAGGAAACGCCACAGGAAAACGTACTGTTCTCCTTTCACGAAAAATGGACGCATCTTCTTCTTGAAGTAATCTACTCCATCTGGGGCTGCAAGCCTTTCTCGGTTCAGTGATTCCTTTTGTACTGCGGCCAATCCGGAGAGCCTCGTCTTGAGAGACGGACCTCTTTTGGTGTCATCCAGCGTTGTTATGTCGCACCAGTCGTCAATCAACTGTTCATACTCAAACCACGAGGTGGTGCCATCATAGGCAGGCGCGATCTTGGGCGTTATGCCTAATGATGCAAGCATGCGGTCAGATGTTGCATATGACTGTGCGACATAAGTAGCTGGACCTTGGGAGGTCTCTTCGTTCTCATATCCCCCGGAGGATTGGGAACTGCCGTCGGCTTCGCTATGCGAGCTCGACATTGTGCTGCCTCTTATCCGCTTGGTTAAGCGTTCGGCGAGGCCGACCGCTGTAGCGGACTTTGTGAGGCGGGCGGCCCTTTCCGGGCTCCGCTACCAGAAAACTGTGCCGATACACCCCCAAGGGATACTCCTTGTAAGGAGGTGTATGACCAGTTATTCCCTAAGGATCAAAGGGCAGCGCCCTGCACACGGACAGTAGTTGTTTTGTCTTGCTACGCAAGGAGAGCTTGTCTTGTCTCAATATGGTAAAACCACTGTGAGCCAATGGGCAGCGGAATGTATATGTATGAGCATGCAGCCATTGCTGTAGGTACCTGTTAGAGCTACCCCTTTAGAGGTTTATGGTTTCACCCCCACCCCTGTCAGACCATACCATTGGGGGGGGGGGGGGAGCGCCAGATGCCTGACCAAAAAAATACCGGTTCTCGGTTCACCCCCCCCCCCCCCCCAATGATATCCCCCCCCCCCGCTCCCCAAGCCGAACTGTGCAAGCTTTTTCCACACGAGGGCTCACACCAAGCAGACCCACGCAGGAAACCCAAACCACACCACCCACAGGGGGAGTGGGGCAAGCTTTTTCCACACGAGGGCTCACACCAAGCAGACCCACGCAGGAAACCCAAACCACACCACACCACAGAAAAAAGTGGGGTAACCAGCCTCAGCAGACCCACTCCCGAACCACACCACACCACAGGAAGGGGGAAGCAACCCACAACCACACCATACCACGGGGGAGGAGGAACCATTGGGGGGGGGGAGGGGGGGGGCCAGCCGAACCGGGATCATATATGATCTGGGTTCTCGGCCCCCCCCCCAATGGTATCCCCTCCCACCCACTCCCCAAGCCGAATCTGTGTGATTGCGCACACTTTTGCACATGCGGGCCCCAAAACCGTCATCTGTCACGAGGATCGCGCCCCAAAGACGCCGGATCAGTGTGAGGCCGCCAAAACCGCCAACTGTCACGAGGACTGCGTTCCCTGACAGGCCCGATCCCTTTGACAGTTGGCCGATTGCAACCTTTTGACAATTGCCCCCAAAGCGACAACTGCCACGAAGATAGTGGCCCTACGATCAACAAAGCGATAATCAGTACCAGGCATGTGGGCAGAAGACACCCGACGACAAACCAATCAAACATTAAGATGCTTGAGTTAATGATGATGGTGATCATCGTCCCCATCATCATCATTATTATCATCATAGGGATGAGTATACCAAACACCCAAAGCAAACCTACAAACCTAAAAACGCAGGGGCACACCATTCCACAGGGGGGAAGGGTGGAACCACCCCAACCAGACCCACCCCCGCCCACACCACACCACAGGGAGGGGGAAGCAACCCACCACCACACCACACCACACCACAGGGGGGGGGGATGGGGAGGAACCATTGGGGGGGGAGGGGGGGGACGGCCGAACCGGGATCATATATGCCCTAAGCCCTATCTTTCGTCTGGCGTGTCTGAGTGCGAGCACCTAAACAGCAACCGATATCGCATTGTGACGCCAGGTGAACGGAACGAAGCTGTCTGAATCCTGCTACTTGGCCCAACAGGTGCAGCATGTACTTGTTTTTCGATGTTCTACTGAGTTGAGCTTCCCACGCCATTCACTGCACGAGAACTAGAAATCAGCATGCGCGTGACATGGGATAGTGCGCGTTCGTGTTTTATGCATCTGCATGCATGGACATATATGCTTCATTTATGTTATACATCTAAACTATATACCTTTTACACGGTGTTGGTTTCCCTCTCTCACACACCCACGCCAAAGCCGTAATTGTGTTAGCTTGTTTATACTCATCTATCCATCCGCAAGTTGGTTCGGCTGTCTATGCTCATCTAGCATGTGATAGCAGGATTTCTTTGCAACAAGCGTTTTAGGCTGCCAATATCTATATAGCCTGTAACTCTGTAGTTATACACACCTGCGTGTGCAGAGTTGTTGGTCCAGCTTACTTATAGTTGCCTTTGCAAGTATACTTCGTGTCGACACGGCATACGTGGTCATCTTTGTAACTCCGCTTGCAAAGACTTCCGAAGAGTAGGGTCTTTCTATCAGCAAACGTAAAGAGATCGCATGTGCAGTGCAACTTTTTGTATTGGCTAACTGCCAGGCCGACAGAAAGAACTTGCATGGTGGCTTTGAGTCGTTCAGTTGGCCGCCTTCAGGTTATGGACTCGCAGCCAGTGCTTGCGCTCGAAGTTCACAGGCTCGCTGAGTTGCAGCTATAGTCGCATTTTTCAGTATTGGGGTTGTGGAGGGCTCAAGCCACCCTCACAGCCTCTCATTGCACGTGCGACATAGGCGCGGAGCGCGCCGGCGACCCAGGTTGTGCAGAGATCATTCTGCGACTCCATGAATGAAGACACGATTCCAAATGTTCTGTCGGGGTCAAAGATTGGTTGTGCATCCGGTGCACCTGACCATCGAAGACCGTAGCGCGTTACGAAAGGGGGTGTTGAAAGGGTATGCGCAATGAAACAGCAAGCATCGTTTCCAGGTCCAACCGGCGTTCTGAGGTTGTCAGCCCTTCCCAGGAACTGGGTGCACCCCAAGCAGTTTATAACCCATACCAGCACTACTACCAAAATGCCAATACTATCGGTTTAGTTACTGGCTTTTGCGGCACGCCGTCAGCTCGGAAGGGTAAGGCCTTTGCATATACTTTGTGATTGCTTTCTCGAGATCAAAGCGGTCGCGGCTGTTCAACTCCACAGCCCAGACGCCAAAAAGTGTAGACACCACAACGCCTATTTGCATTCGGGGCAGCATGTACATGATTGCAGCAGAAAGCATAAGTGTACTCATGTTCATTACATGCGCACAGTCATAAACCTACATGCATGAATTCACACATGTGTACCGACATACATACAATATTGCCTGCATGCATGCATGCCTGCATGCATTCATGCATGGATGGTTGGATGGATGGATGGATGGGTATACACCTACATCTACGCATGTATACTGGGACACACATGTCCTGAATTTCGTTGCGAGTGACATCGTTCTTTTTCTCTTCGCTTCGCGGCTTTTTGAGAAACTTTGATTTCCGGGTCGAGGCTCCGGCTCTTGCAGGAAGCCAAGGGCTGTGGTCTCGAGCCTGACACTGAGAATCGGCTCCCTGGCGCTTCGTAGGGAAGGGGGGAATGGATCCCTATAGATCCCCATGATAGTCCCTTAGGGTAAGGGCCCCTTGTAGTCGTCCCTATAACCCACTCCCCCTTTCCTTACTAAGAGCCAGACAGTCGGGGGCATGTGGCTCTCAGGGCCCTAGATACTAGAGGACGCAGAAGGGCTGAGGGTTTGAAGGTTCAGCAGGGGTTGAGTGTCTGAGATTCAATTTCACAAAACAGTTACAAACATGTTCATTATCCCCAGGTAATGCCTAGAACATGCTTTGCATAACAAAATCCAAGCCCCCAGTTGAGTTTCCTCAGGACTGCTTCCTTGTTGCGGGAGTTGTTTTTTCCAGCGCAGCACAGGGTTTCGGCAACACAGATCGATGCAAGTTTAGCTTAGAGGCCCAAAAGCGGAGCGATCCAAAGTTTCGGGTTTAGGGGGACCCTTGATGGGGACCCCTACCCTACAATGGGCTATATAATGGGCTAAAAAATAGCTATATTAAGGGTTTCGGAATGGGCGTACCCTATAATGGGCTATGCAATAGCTATATTAAGGGTTTCAGACTGGGCGACAGTTTCTAGTGTGTTTGCTTTGGGCAGCCGATGTTGAAGCGATCTGAAACACCCTTCGACCCGCTTCCCACATGCAAAGACAGGATAGACAGGTGGAGGCGAGGGTTTATTCATTATCAAAAGGACTGGTATTCGGACTTTTTCGGGTTGAGTGTTATGACATACGGCATTCGCGAAACATCTCAGAGAAGATGTTATACACCTGCGACCCATGCCAACGCCATGCTGCAGCACGCCTCGCAGCAAAGGCTTTACATGCGAGACTGCATATACTTCGAGTCGATCTGCATCCAGCAAAAGTCAATATCCACTGAGATGATCTTCCGGCACAGCATGACAGGTTCTGGATAGTTTTGCCAGTGGGACGTTTTGGGACCCTAGGATGCCTAAGGCAAGCAATGTCAAGCCGGTCCAATGCAAACGCCACTGCCACTGGCTGAAACAGCAGCGGGGGGAAGACAAGAACTCACCGACTTTTATCATTATGCGGCTTACCACACTACAACAGCCTACTTCGGCAAAGCATCCGTCATGGCGCCGCTCGACGATGACGAGGAAGATGCTCCTTCTGACGCCAGCGCCCAGGCAGATGACGAGGGCTCTGAGAGTGGCCGCTTGGCTCGTGTTCACAACATGCTGCGCCCCAAAACATACTACCTAGCCGTTCGTAGCCATGCCCTAGTAGCCTGTGGAAACGATAAGCTGGATTCAGCAGGATGCAGTGACATCAGGGAGAACGGCAGCAATCTTGACAGTCAGACATCGGATTAGCGTGCGAGTGCTCGCAACCGGAAGCTAAGCTGGTTCCTGCAGATTGAATAGCCGATAAAAAGACGTCATGATGTTGTCAAAAGGAGCACTACCCAGCTACCTTCAGCACGAGCGGGCCATGCTTCAGCGTGGTCTCCTTGCAACACATCAGACTGGCTGGACGCGCCTGCAAAGAAGGTTAGGGAGAGATTTCTGCCAGATCTTTTGTGTTGGCCAGAGTGTCATGCAATCTGGGTTTTTTGGTTCTTTGGTCTGGGAATCCGACTGCAGTCCTGGTATTTTCAAGACTCAGACGCGCCAGTAGCCTGGACGGTGACGGTTACAAAATGGCATCGGCAAGGCCAGAATAAACCCTACAGCCTATCTGCCGCAAACACTAAACTCCAAACCTGCTACATCCCCTATAAGCTTCTTGATGACTTACACACCCGACAAGCTGTATACTGCTTCAGCCCTTAGCCTTTCCTGTGAGTTCGAACGTGTACTTTTTCCGATGCTGCGCTACCCGCTTACATTTAAGATGAGTACGCTTACTTTTTGCTTCGGACACAAAAAAGCGTACTAACCCGTACCGGGCCCAAATGTCAACAAATATGTTGAAAATACGACCCGTACTCAACCCGTACCCGTACCCAACCCGAACTATGTCGACATTTTGGTGAAAAAAAGCCGTACTCAGATGTCGACATTTACCCGCACTCGCTTACTTTTTAGGCATGCCGTTTACTTTTCTTTCCGTACCGCAAAAATGTATACCGTTTCCCACGAATAGAAAAAAGTAGCCGGACGCACCCACTGGTTGAAAAAAAGTGTACCAAGTGCCGAACAGCCCTATAAGCCCCCTATAAACCCTAAGCCTACGCCCTAAACCGGTGAGGGAACAAGCCGGTGAGGAGCAGTGCTTTCGACTTGGAAGCTCTTTGCGATCGCCTCCACGGCCTATCCGACCTTGGACTGCCCTAGAGTTTGGGGTTTCAGGGTTTAGGATTTTAGGGTTTGGGGTTTCAGGTCAGGGTTTAGGATTTTAGGGTTTGGGGTTTCAGGTCAGGGTTTAGGATTTTAGGGTTTGGGGTTTCAGGGTTTAGGATTTGAGGCTTTGGGGCATTTCCCGGCTGATTGCAAGAGTCCTGGTCCTGGATGCAAAAGGCTTTGGGGCTTCACGTTTTCGGATTTTAGGGTTCGGGTTTTAAGGGTTTAGGGTTTGGGGCTTTGGGGTTTGGGATTTCAGGGTTAAAGGTTTTAGGGTGTAGGAGTTTAGGGTTTGGGGTGTCAGGGTTTAGGATTTCAAGATTTCAACTTTAGGTTTGAGCCCAGCTGCAAACCAATGTGTTAGGGTTTGGGGATTCATGTTTTGAGGATTTAGGGCTTTAGATCTTCAGGGTTCGAGGTTTGGGAGTTTATAGGGGTTAGTCTTTACAGGGTCGTTGTTGTTTTTGGTAGGTAAGTGCGTGCGAACTGTATGTGCTGCGCTCAGCGACGCGATGCCAACGTCTGCATACGTATGCCTATACAGCCTATACATACATAGATGTAGAGAGGTCAGCTTCGTCCTCCACTAGAACCACACCAGTATTAGGTCGTTTGCGGGCGCGAAAGCCTGAAGCATGAATGCAAAAGAGCGGCAACTGAGCCAGTGATCGACCCGGCTGTAGGCAGGCATGATATGCCCGAAACTCCAGATGCTGACTCACAATCTGTTCACTTACTTATTGCCTTTCAAAAAGAGGTTTGATGCTGCCGCGCCTAAAGCAAGACAGTAAGACTTCCATCGTCCAACCTAAGCCGTAATCACCGTAATCCCTAAACCCACCTCCTGATGTGGGATAACATACGTGACATAGGAAAAGGCATTCTGCTACTTGTGGTACTAGTACGGTGCAACATGCACTGCAAAGTGCGACATGTCCCAATAGCGTATTGGACGGCTTGCGCAGCAGGCAAATTTCCGAAGCCCTAAACCTTGGGCATAAGACAGCAGTGCTCCTTACAGTCCAAGTGCTGTTCGCCGTGTACCAGGAACCCCGCCTAGTGCCCAGGCTTGTCCAAGTGTCAGCGCTGAAACCTTGGGCAAAATCTGCGCCAAGCGGCAGACAAAAATAGCATCCGGCAAGCTGTGAGAATCTAAAACCCTAATGATCTTTCCCAGGTCGAGGAGGCAGAGAAGGATGCACGCGAAGCCCTCCAGGAGGCCAAGGACGAAGCTCGGGACGGCGACGTGCTCGCCATCCTGCTGCAGGTTCGGAATGGAATACTTGTCGTCTTGTCAGCTTTTTTTAACGGCCCTTTTCCGTCACGATTTATCAGCTTTCGGGTTCTGGGTTGCAGAGGAGGCGCCGATGTAGCGTGTTTCGGGAGATTAGAATTGAGCTCGATCGATGGCAGGGAACACTTGGACATGGCCCACAGCACAAGCAGATCCAGCATCGTCAACCAATTTCGGAGACATCGGTTGCCAGTGCGACTTGCGCGTCATTTGTATTCCTGAGCCCTACAGTCGGAACATTGCATGGCAGGTTTTCCAGTCCGCCCGCAGCAGCGTCCTGGACTCGGACGAGGCTCCCACCGACTACACTTGGACTGAGGCTGGGGCTTCGATGTGTTCATCCTCACGCCTCCACGAACAAACTCGACAGCACACGTCGCCCCTGAATCCGCACCTTCCGCGTTGCATGATGTCTAGGACCCAGAGCAGGTTCTTCAGACGAAGAGGATGGTGATGTTGAACTGGCGAGTTCAACGCTCTAGATAGCGACACATACGAGAATGAAGATGAGCAGCTGAACGTTCGTAAAATTGACCCGAGTGCCAAGTTTCGATGGATGAAGGTGCTAGGCTACTGCAGCCGCCTATGTGCCTTGTGCGATCGGAACTTCCTGAGCAGCTCGGCACACATGACTTACCATCACTGACCCGAGCAGGTTTTGGGTATGTAAGAAACGGGTAAGGGATAAGGATTGCAAAACAAGTTTGGGTCTGAGGTTTTATGGGTTTAGAGTCAAGGATGTCGGGCACATGGGAGTGGAGGTTGCAATATTCGAGTTCGGATGTGTCTGAATTAGATGACCGGATGGCCTTGCGCCCAGCGAGGTTTGGTGCGGCATAATACGACTTGGGTCAAGACACTGAGGGAGCGCAGCGTGTCCAGTTCTGAACCCGGCACCCTGTGCCTCATGCTGAATGTTGTTTTCAAGAGCCCCCGGGGTTCCAGCAAGCCCCGAAGAATAGCTTAGATGGTGCAAGAGTAAGGTTCACGGCGGGTCATGAAGGGTGCCTGTAGTGACCTGTAGTGACTTGCAAAGTTGCTTAACTTAGGGCTGAGGGATTGGCGCAGAAAGCCTAGGTGCAATTACTCTGAATCGAAGTCATCTCTCTCTCTGTGTCTTTGTCTTTCTCATGCATATTTGGGGAATAGGAGTTGGGAGTCTAGAGTCTATAGGGCCTTAGTTTCAATAGCGAGAGTGTGCTGGAAAGTGCCACAATAGACCGGAGGCGGCAATTCTGAGAGGAATGTAGGATTGCAGAATCTCCGAAGTGCTTTTATAGCAGCCATTTCCACTGAGGAGTGCAACATTGTGGGATTGGATAATTGGATTCGGGATATTCAGCAGCCGGCAACGTTTAATCCTTGGGAGGTGGGGGAGGCCTCTGAAACCTAAGGGAAAGAGATTGCGATCCATCTAATGGTTTCAAATATTTCACGCCAAATTGAAGAATACCGTACCTAAGGGAGCCCAACGGCGAACCCCACTTCATTAGTTAGTTCCCTTGCATCGCACCGAGGCTTAGCTGGGCAACCTGGCCCGGACGACTTTCCCCTGCGGGTGGTGGCCAGTGTCTATGCCGAGTGCGGGCGGAGCCTCATCGCCTATCAAAAATATTGCTGAAAGTTGTGGTCTTCTGTTGTTGACAATCGGGAACGAGCTGCTGAGGCTTACAGTTTACAGGCGCTTGAGATATGTAAGCGGTGAGGTAGCGTTCGCGACGATCTGGATTAAAGTATGGCGACCCGCAGCAAGTTATATGCAGCATAGTACAGAGGAGCACGGTGTACTATAGTTTGTATATATATATATATATATATATAGTTAGATGGGCTATGAATACGGTTGTGCGGCATCACTCTGCCTTTCGTCTATTCGTAGTTACTTTCGTATTCTCGCCGTATGTGCTGCTGGTCGTAGTATGTCAGGATGTGCCATTTTCGTTCTGCCTAACTCTGAGTTGCATTATCTCTGAATGTCGAACATGCATACTATGCCACGTTCTAGTAGGTTATACTGAATCTGTAAGTCGGAAACTTGTGTGAAAGCCGCGAGTCCCGGGCGACTCTGCTGACGATTTAGGTGTCCGAGTTGCGAGAGCGTAAACCCCTATAAACCCTAAACCGGTTGAACGCAAGCTTAAGGCCGAAGCTCCCCGGCACGGGGTCTCTAAGCCAACTTTTGCCGACAGCGAGTTGAAGATTCGAAGCCGGGGACCTCGAGCCCGGCCCAGTGCAGGAATCGAGGATGTGTGCAGCAGAGTTGGCTTATGTTAGGGACCCCAAAAGCACATAAGCATAGGCATTATATGGGGATATCCCTACCTTATTGGGCTTTTGGGGCCCTACTATGTTGGCTCATGATAATCTGAAGTCTGCGCTCAACGGGAAGTGGCCGACTTGATATGCGCGACCCCTGCCAAGCCCAAACCCAGGGGCATGGACCGAGGTGCTGCCCGACGCAGACATGCAGACGTCCCGTAGACCACGATATGGGGGTTTCCGAAAATAGGGTACCCTAATATACTACCCCACATAGTAGGATCCTTATTGTAAGGACCCCAAAATACGATACCCCTGATTTTCGGAAACTCCCATATTTGACCAAACTGCCGCCTCGACCTTGAAACCTTGATCAATGCCTTGGACCCTCAACGTGTGCAGCCCGGGAGACAGCAGCCTGCTTGCAACCGGATGTATGTCCAGTGGGCCAGTGAAGAAACTACAGAAACGCCGTGCGGTGTTGTGCTAAGCAAAGCAACCGGCAATGTACCGGAGCATCCTGCAACCTGGGCCACAACATGCTGAATCCTGAACCCCAATAAGCCTTATGTCAGTCCTGTAGACCCTGAAGAAACCTCTAAACCTTAAGCGCAAAGGGCCGCCGAAGATCCGTGCAACCTGAAATCCAAGGACCTTATCCGTGGCGGGCCGCCCTACGGAAGCGCGAAATCGGCTTCAGACTCTTGGGCGGGTTTACGGTTTGAATGAGGAGTCCCGTGCCGGGCTGAGAGTTGAGGTTTAAGGTTGCCCTCTGTACCACCAGTTGTATTATTCAGGAAACAGGTGCAGAAACTGAGAAAAGGGTGGGTAGGTACTGTAAGTTGGACAACGTCCACGTGCAGGTTATGTGTGCAACGTTCTTATCAGTCGATCGATGGATGGTTAGATGGTTATGATGATATAGTAGAGGGGTAGATGGACTGGCAGATGCATGTATGGACGCATGTCGGAGCAGCACAGGCAAAGGTACAAACAGACACAACCATAGCTGCACACTTACCTACCTACCTTCCTGCCTGCCTACCTACCTACCGGCACAACACAGAAACAGACAGTCGTCATGCGTACATTCATCGGCCGTGCCTGCAATATTTGTCGGCAGCAATGCCCATGCGTGATTAGATGCACTGCGGGTGTTCCTTGTCTCTTCAGTCTGCCTCTGCATGTGTGCATGTGTCCAATTGCTTCAGAACCCGAGCGGCTCGTTCTGCCCCAGGAAGGCTCTCAACGTCTTCGGGCTCATCTCAGAGCCGACGGAAGAGGCCCGAAGGGCGGTTGAAGCAGCTCCTACAGTAGCCCTAACTAAAATCCATACTGCTGGGGCGGTTCCTTGTTCCAAGTGTGTCTCTGCACTAGGACCCTGGGAGACTAACAGCCTCGGTACGGAAACTAAAGTAGCCCCCCTTGCCTGTGAAACCTAAATCCTCTAATCCCGAGATCCTCACATTCGACAGCACGGGGCCAAAAGACCCGCTGTCCTGCAAGGTTCATCCCCGCCCCCAAATCCGAAGATGCGAGAACCGCTCGCAAAGAACTTACAGATCACACCAAGACACCGCAGAAGTTGAAAACCCTGCACTTTCTATACGGTCTGTGGAGAGTGCAAAGTGTGCATGGCATGCCCCTGATGCTCTGCATCATTCGAAGGAAGCCTGGCTGCTTGCTGGCTGCCGGGCCTCCCTGGCCAGGGCCTTCCGACAGCGCCTGAGACTTCTTAGACTTAAGGGGTTCGAGGTTAGGGTCGACATGCCCCACAGATTCATGTTGAGAGCATGCGCCATGCATGTAGATCGTAGTTCCGTTTCCCGAGTTTGGGTAGACCTGGCTGTGCGCTGTCCTGCCCCCGCTTGCATGCCTCCTTGCCTCAGCGTTTGGCGAAGCCTCTTCTGATTCTGTGGGACGGGAATGGCTTTGAGGTGCCGTTTAATTTTTGCCGGGCAGTAAGAAGTGAAGCACGTTGCAGAAAAAGGGTTTAGTCCTGAGGGATCTTGCGCTGGCGTTCTTCCAAGTAGTCTGCGAGCAGTCGTCGTGAAGCCTTGCCTGCCTCGAGAGGGTGCGAGCGTCGAAAGCCCGACACACCATACAAACTAAAGAACTCGGTCGGCAAGGCACCATGAAGTCAAACACCCTACACCCTGCGCCCTCAAAGCTCTCAGCCCAGGTTGGGGCAATTCAAGGGCACCCAGGATGAGTTCCTTCAGGCGCTGCAGCTCATGGCTGACCTCCCGGAGCCGAGAACGGGAAGTGCTTCGGGTCTGGGCTGTGGATTTGAAGTTTGGGGGTCAAGCACATGCACAGTGGAATTTGTATGCTACTATATTGCAGGAGTGGTCGTAGTCACTCAGGCCAACTGCTCATCCTCAGGAGTCTTATGAGGTAGCGGAGCTCCTCTCTGAGTATTGCGAGGCTGGGATGGAAGGGGCGCAAACAGCCAAATGGTGATTTGGCATAGCTTGACAGAGAGAGAGGGCTTCAGGTCAGCCGCGGGAGACCCAAGCTCCATGATGCCCAACTAGGTAGGGCTTTGGGACATTTTATATTTTCCCTTATTGGGCTTCATAGGATCTTATTTACTAACACTTTTCACAAGCTTTAAACGCCCCACCTAGCCAAAGAATCAAAGAAGCGGTCGAGCAGGCCTTGGGTGAGGCGCCCAAAGGGGACCGCCTGGTTTCGTCGGCGCTCGTGGACCTGCGCCTGGCTTTGCTTTACAGTGTTCATAGTGATTGCGCGCTGGGTTTGTGGGATTTGACGGGTCTGTTATTGTAGCTTTCGGAGCTAGCGATTGGTTCGGGCCTTCAGGGTTCTCCAAATCCGTCTGTTGCTACAAGCTGACAGAATGATGGCGGTTTTGTCAGGGTTCGGGTGAAACCGTACCTACAAGTTGAAAATGTACTGGTGTATACTGATGTCACACGGTTGCCTTGTCAGTCACGTTGTGCTTTTGGCAACTACTGCGACTGGTTCACCCACTGTTGCTTGTCAGGCTTGTGCTCGCAGTGGTGATTGAGCTTGCCAACGTTGTTGTGCGAATCGGGGCTCACGGCTTTCATAGCTACCCCCGAATCTGGAATCCGGGTAAGCCCTAAGTCTGACAGCACCAAGACCCTGGAAGCCTACACCGCTCTTCCCGAAACCCCAAGAACTGCCCCAAAGCCCTAATAGAGGCTCAAGAAAGGGAATCTGCCCCAAGCCTCACACGTTGAAGCCTGACGGCTAGCTCTCATACACCAGAATGCGACATCTGAAGTCCTGTACCCCGGAAGGTGTCAAGGTGGAAAGCAGCTGTCAGGCTTTGGGCTTGGCTTTCATCTTGGTGGTTTTTCCTCATACATGAAGTGTTTTCGGTTTTGTTAGGGTTTACGGGGCTTGAGGTGGAGCTAAGACTTCGAGAACAGTTTAGGGTCCTGTTCGGCTCTATTGGCTATGAGTCCTTAGCTTCTGTGGCATTTCCAAATTGCCAGGTCTCGATGCCAATCATGTAGCTGTGCCCAGGATGGCCACGATGATGGAGGAGAAGTTTGGTGAGGGAAGCGAGGAACACATCCAAGCACTGCAGGCGCATGGGCTTAGGTTTTGCCATGTAAGGTTTGGGTCTCGAAGGCATGACCTCCCTGCGGTATCGTATACTTGCTGACTTGCTGATTACGTATCATCACCGGCACCTTTCGAACCTCATTAGAGTTTTTGTTTCTGTTGATGCCACGTTCTGTCAATAAGTGAACTTGCAGCCAGACTGAGGGTGGTTGTTTTTTGGGGCTTGAGGTGTAGGATGACTATAGGAGCATGATGTGCAACGTCTATGAAGCCTTCAGTCTCAGTAGTGGCTATACCTGGCCATGAGGGAGTGAAGCCGCACTAGAAGGAGGGAGCACGGGGACCATGAAGCTTGAGGCAGGACTTGAAGTACTTCGAGCCCACCCCGTCGGTCCATAATGCACAGCATATTCTGCTGGGCACCCCAAACCCCACACACAGCCCCGTGGCGGGAACACGATTTGGGGAGCAGGACAAAACTCCCCTTAGCGCATTCCAGGAACTCTCAGCAGCCTGCGTCGCTGCGGAGAAGCCTGCGTTGGCCGCTCCGCTCTTCGTGACGCTGTCCAGGCCAGCATTGCAGCCATTGTGGTTAAGTTGCCAGAATCCCGTGAGGCCAGAATGGATTTGCAGTTCGCCTCATCCGAAACTTACACTGGGCAACAAGTGAAAGTGAGATTCAGACTTGGTAGTACAGTATCAGTGTGGTGGCTGTTGTCTCTGTTGACTTCGACCGTCGTTACATGGTAGAGACGGATCATGTTTAGCTTTGTGTCGTGACCTACCTGTTTTGTGAATCTTCAATTGGTTCCAAGCGTTCACCGGTCTTGACATGGGTCTTTGCTTGGGTCCCTTTGACTGAAACACGGCTTGCAAGGATATTCAGCAGTTGTCGCACTGCTTAACCCTTCGGGTCGCTGTTCGTGTTGTTCCATGTTTCTTGTTACGTCGCAGCCTTGTCTCAATCCAGGTAGGCCATCTCCCAGCAAGCACCGGTCTGTCCAAAGTTTTAGGGTTGCAGCGAGCCGCCATTCCGCCGGCTTCATCAGTGCTTTGTATTTCGAGAGTTGGGAGCTTGAGACTATCACTTTGTCTCTAGGCCGGACCGCGCACGCTTGCGCAAGACGTTCTCAAAGTCACTTGAGCAGAAGTTCCGAGTGCCACATTTGTTCAGCCTAAACCCTTGCATCATCCCTGCTACACCTTGTCCAACACCCTCGAGCGACTGCACGAAAGTGTCCTTAACCCGATGCCCCAAACTTGATACACTTGCCCCAAACTGCAGACTACTTCGGGAGTACTACGGTGATGAGCCGGACACCTGGGAGATGCAAGAGCTGCAAGCAGCCCGGACTGTGCACCAGCATTTTATCCAAATGCTTGCAAGGCCCGAATCAAAACGGAGTTTCTCAAGAGTTGCCGTGTTTATGGGTCTCTTTGTTTTAGGGATTCCTCGACTCCTTACAGTGAATATTCCGGAGTGAAGCGGATTCGGACGTCATAGTCTGGATCGAAGCAGTTGAGAGCTTTGGCATGTCGTTCTCCAGTGGGTGTTGTTGTAAAACCCGCATCTCTGCATATCGAACACACACTTGCTTGTGACTGTGTGTGCCTATGCATTTTTCTTTGTGAACAACCTTGTACCGTACTTGTGCACGTAGTTACGGACGTCCATGTGTGCATTGCTCGACCATAAACAAGTCCTAAACACTCAAGCTTCAACTTCCCGCACCCAAACTCAACTGCTGGAGCTAGCTATATGAAGCCTACAACCACCAAATCCGAAAAATCCAAACCCCAACCCCCAACCCCCCCCTCCCCCCCCCAATGCCCGAAACCCCCACGCATCCCCACGCCCTTTTTCCCTGCGGTGCGATCTTTCAGCTGGGCAAAACCCAGGCCCTTAGAAAAAAGTTCTGAACCCAAAGGGCAACCCACCAAAGTCAAAAGCACCAGAGCCCAGGCAGTGGAAGAAAAGGCGGCTCAGTGCCTCGAGGGTGGAGCCGCTGTCCACATGAGTGAAGGCGATCTCGAGGCAGGTTTCAGGGTTTGCTCTTAAAGTGTTGGGGTTAGGGTTTTAAACTGGCTAGACTTGAGTCCAGTGGCAAAAAGGGGTTATAGGCAGCCAGCAAGCGCAGTTTGAAACAAAAGGGGCCCTAAAGCGTACTTAGCCTTGCTCATCTCGCCACGCGTGCGGTGTGGGGAGCCTGGCAGGGCGAGCTCCAGTCGAGCCTGTGTAAAAAGGGCTTTAGGCTTTAGTGCTTTGGTGCTATAGGGTTTTGGTCAAGGTGAGGGCGATTTCCAGGGGAGTCTAGGGTTAGGGCATACTTGGGATTTCTATACGCTGATGGCGATTTCGGGCCAGGCTTTCCGGGTTGATGCACTGTTTTTAGTGCGGGCGATCTCCAGGCATGGTTTGGGGCTTTGTGGTTTTGGGGTACTTCACTTTGGCGGCTTTGGGGGTTCACGGTGTCGTGGAGGCAGGGCTGACAAGGTTTAATTCAGGGTGTTTTCTACAGTTGTGTAAGGGTTGTTTTGCTTTATATGGTTCTATTAGTAAGGGCTAGAACACGGTCTGATATACAAGCAGGTTTCTGCACAGAGTTTACCGGGGGTACTATAATATTCCGTTAAAATGTGCCGCCCCCATCAAGCTTTTGATGCATATCAAGGGGGCTTACAATTTAGATGGTTTTAGGGATTGGGTTGGGGACATGGGTCATACGTCTGAAGGGTTTCTCAGGGTGGGCACCTAGGACCTAGAGTTTGGCTTGCATCTGAAGGGTATGGGGTGCTCGGCATGCTGACGAGCTGTAGTGCATCCCTTTTCATGAATCAAAGTGGTGGCTACTGCATGTGGGTCCATGGGCCATTCAAGCCCAAACTGAAGCGAAAGGCATGACATGAAAGCCCGTGCGGTTTGTGATTTGGCTCGTTGTGGCTCCGCGAGTTGTTCTAAAACATGTGCGGAAAATTCTTGCAAGGCAGAGCGAATGCCGACCAGCACCGGGAGTCTAATGTCCCCTGGTTTCAGTGAACAGAGGTCTCGGGATTCAGGGTGGAATGAGGTATGTCGAAATGTGCTTTACAACTTTGTAGCCTCGCTGCAGGCTGCCGTGGCATTATGGTCTCTCGCACTCCGAATGCGAGAGGGCCTCCATGCCGAGGACTGCTGGAAGAGTATATACAGCCAAAGCCGCGTTGAAGCTGTTTGTCAGTGTGTAGTCCATGCATGTAGCACCGACTTCCTGCAGCCTGTAGCTGTCCCAAACTAACTTGAACACCCATTCTCCACCCTAACATGAACAGGCAATGGTGGCTTCAGCAGTGTGTTTGGTGTCTCGCGTCTTTTGAGACAAACACTCGGCAAGGAGGAGGTGCTGACGGAGATGCGCCAGTCTTTGGATGCCTTGAAGCAGGCGGCTGCTGCCGCAGCTGCAAGCGAAGCTGAAGGCACAACCAGTGTCCCGCGCTGAAGCGCTTGTGCACGGCGGAGAGAAGAGAGTGGAAGATGCAGACGCCGGTTGTTGCCAGACATTTTCGTGTTTTTCTCTATCCGCAAATCCTAAATCCCCAAAGCGATTGTGGTGCCATGATAGGCACTGTTGTCGATTAGTCAGTTCAAGTGCGTGCCTTACTCCGATGCTTCCCTTGCATTCGGAACTCCTCTGTTTGATCTGTTCCTTGGGTACTGTCGTCACCTGGTATTGGCTGGACGACGTAACGGTAGTAACGGTAGCAACCTGACCTCATGGAGCCGTGCCTGCGGGAGCGCGTGTCCGAGTCGAAATCGGTTAAAATCGACATTCCAGCAAATCTGGGTTTAGGGTTTAGGTACAGTTTGTCTGCGGGCGCACTGCTGACCTCGAACATCAACATTCCAAGCCTGATACTCACATTCTTCAGTTCAGTTCCTCCTGTCTCGACCATTCCCTTGCAGCGCTCGGGGGTTCTCGCTGTCACGAGTACAGCGCGGCACGAGTCAGCTGTCCTGGCGTGACGTTGCAAGCCAGTTGCAAAAGGTACAGTTTGTCCTAGACAGTCCTGCATAGGCAAACAACAAAAAAGACGAGCAGAGCCCTCGAGGTCCAGCGAGCACTTTGGCGCCCGAGGATGCCCAACAAACTGAAGCCTCCGATCCGCTGGAGACCTCGAAGGACTGGCCCCTATAGATTAGGGCCTTGAAGGACCTGAACGATCTGTAAAGGAGTGAGTTTAAGGGACTTCGGGCCTCAACGCTGTTTCGGGTCTAGAAGAAATGCGAGGATTTGGAGACAAAGGTTTACCGACTTTCATTGTGAAGCGTTTTGGGTGAAGGGGCTTTCGGAATTCTTCGAGCATAGCATTTAAGTGGTCATATCATCTCAAGCATTGACTTCGTGAGGAGCGCAGGCGGGAACAGGATGTATGTGAGGCTACCTTGAACACACTCATGACGAGCTGCAACTAAGCCGAGTAGGCCTAGCATGACGGGACTGCAGCTTCAGGTGGCTGCAAACCACGGCAGGGTATGGCAGCTGGTGTGCCTTAGTGGACGAGTGATCCAGATGGGATGGACAAGTGGGTGTTGCTAGATGATGCCGCTAGGATGGGACGTTTTTTCGGAGTTGATGCTCTGCAGCTTGGAGTGCCGATGTTAATGTGAGCAGGCTAATGCGTCTGGTTGTGATGTTATCTTCCCACAACCTCGCCTGACTCTTTCGAGTGCGTGTTTTAGAACTGAGCAACTTGCTGCTGTGCTAATGTTGCATTAACAACACTACATCAATCCAGGTTGTTCTTACATTGTATGTATGTGTATGTATATGTATATATACATAAACGTATCTACGCATGTGCATATGTATATATGTTCTGTATATTTGCTTATCATATGCGTGCATCCAGGAGGAGGAAGAAGACGCTCGACCTGATTCCTGGGATGAGACAGATGAGCCGAGTGCATCCTCCTCCATCAAGGAGGGCGTCCGAGCTCCTAAAGTGCTGCAAGTTTTGGAGTTTAGGGTTTACGGCTTAGGGTTTCGGGGTTTAGGGGCAATAGGCCTGGATGCAAAAAGGGTTCAGGGGTGAAGGGTTCAGAATACGGTTTAGACTTCTTTTGCTGAGTTGGCACGCTTTGGGACATCTACTCTGCTTTTGTCCGCAGGAGCCTCTTCGATCCAAGCCTTCGTTGATGGGTGGCCCAAGTACCTTGCGGCCCGCCTGGGCGCAGCAACGCGCCCCGCTGGCTCCAGCGCCGAAAGCCGTGGATGCTTGGGATTAGCCCCAACGGCAGTGGAAAAAATGAAGCAAGCATGCAAGTGCCAAGTTAATGAAATGATGCGTCATGACAGGCTGACTCTCAACCTCTCAATGCTTCCTCTCTCTCTCTCTCTCTCTCTCTCCCCCTCGACCTCCACTCTATATTGACCTTTGTACATATGTATATATACATGTATATATACACAAACATACATACGTACATCCTCGTATACACACAGACACACATTGGCAACACAATCAGACACATGTATGCATGCATGCATACACACATGCATTCATGCATACATATCGATGTGAGTTTGGGCCTTGGCGTGGCACAGGCCGGGTGTTCTTGCAAGCAGTGCTGGTCTCACTGCGCCCGGAGCCTTAGATCTTGCTCTCCTGTGTCTCTACATGCGCAGAAAAGCGGTCTCGAGTCTGTTTTGCTGACTCCCTACACGCTCTAAACCTTGCTTGTTGAAGCGTGAGTGTGACCATCAACTCTGAACCCTGATACTCTAAAGCCCGAGCCCAAAATCCTTACTCTGGCCTCCTGGAGTCCTGGAGGTGTAGCAAGATGCAGTGGTGGGAGCAGGCACTTGTGCTCTTCTTTGACATGCAGGCCTTCGGGAAGCCATGCTAGGCTAGGCTTGAACTTGAGTCGCTTGTTAGTCCATACCTCCTCAGTTCCAGCCAGGGCTTTTCTTTGTGCATTCGGTTAGGTAAGCGGTGGGCCGATGCCGATAAAGCGCGAGTTTGACAGTCCCGGCTCCTGGAAGTCAGGGCTTTGTTGTCTTGCGATTCCAACGGGGAAGATGTTCTCAAAGAGATACTGTATGCGAGTTTCCGAAAATAGGGACCCTAATATAGTACCAAAAAAATTCCGGAAACTCCTGTATTGGTATCTTCTGTTCTGTGCTGCAGGCTTATACAGTGTCACCTGATGCAGTGTGTCACAGCACGCTGGTCAACTGCCTCGGGCCCCGGCCTCAATCATCCTATGGGCAATGTAGAGTAGTTTCCTGGCTTCAGGCGTTTTTCGATGTTGTCTACTGCTATAAACCCAAAATACCCGGTTATCCATAGCTCAGGTTACTAAGTAGGAGGGAACATGTTGAAGAAGAGCAGGGTTCCTGTCCCTGTGTAAGTATAGTACCTAGCGCAACATGTGCGTCATGGTGTGTGTCATGGTAAACAGCCGGATTGACCACGAGTTGCGACCCGCTGGTGTCAGTGAAGACTTTCTGCGATGTGATTGATTGGGTTTAGGCTTGGGTGCATAAGTGTACGAATGACGCCTGAAGAAGCACGCACAAGTCATTAGCAAAGTTCCTCCCCACAAGAATACCTCGATATTGATGCGACGATACACCACAAAACTATGAGCAAATCACGATGGCTCCTAATTCTGATGAGTTGCCTTGGCAGCGGAGCTGGGCTGGCGCTGTTCTTTCTGCCGCTGAGACATGTCGCGACTCCTTGCCTGCATCGTGCGAGAGAGAGTTGAGCGGTATGTTTCCCAATCCTAGTGCATGTATACACAAACACATTGGCTACGGCTCAGGCGAAACATTGGGGCTCGAGCCGTTTCCGCGTGTAAAGCATCGGAACGCGGGCGAGAAGGCGCTCCTAGCAGCAACCGATGATCAGATATGACAATGCGAACATGGATCACGTCAAGGAGCCGATTTTCGTGGACGGGCCCTTCACAGTTCGCTATCCCATTTCCTTGGGGTTGGAGAAGAGCCCTTTCGCTGTGTGTTGCTGGTTGGCCAGCAAAGCGCCGCGAGTGAGAGGCATTCCGAAGGGCTCCACGCCTATGCCACACGAGGAAGTGAAAGATCTGTTGGCGAAGTTGCAAGGCCAGTAGAAAATCCCTTCCTTCTCTTGAGCGCATAAATCAGGCCCTCCCGGCCTGACAGAAAGTGAGGGTCTCCAACGACAACTATGTCACCTCAGGCTCAAGCCCGAATTCTCCACACTTCTGCACGAAGGAAACCTTCCATTTCTACAAAGGCCCGAACCAGGAGATCTATTTGGATTTCGTCGGCATTCAGCTCGTCAATATGGACTTTGATGGCGGTGAAGTGGAGCTCCACTGACAACGGCTTGGGTTGGAAAATGCTCTGGCAGCGTGATGGAAAGGCACCGCCCCAACAGGGGATGGTAGCAGCGTAGGAAATGGGAGAGGAGCGCCAGGGCAACCGGTAGGGCTGAGTTTCCATGCGGTTTTCCGGGTTCATAAGCATCGTGCACGACAGGAGTACATGCAGGTGACCTGATCGAGTCTCTTTTCGTCCTTCGAGCTGCAGCTTCTCTAACGGCTTGTTCACAAGCCTGTCGCCTCAGCTTGATCACGTACCTGTCGCCTGAGTGCACAAACAGCTGGCCATCTTCACAGCTGTATCTTCATTTCAATAATCTGACCAACCGCATGCACAATTCATTGCGACAGTCTTCTTCTGTGAGAAGGTCCTTCTACTTGAAGCTTCACCTTCTTCGCGAGTGCATCGAGACTTGAGAAAAATCTCGAGTGCGAGTGCCAAAACATACAAACATGGTGAAGCTAAGGTCTGCAGGTCGCTGGCAGATAGCCGCCGGCTCAGAAGTTCATTTTCGAATTGGCGATGCTGGCTACGTACTGTCACTGTGACCGCGACCTTAAGGCTCAAAAGTAAATAAGTGCAACTTGCTTCGGGGACACTGCAAGGCTCCAGTGTCATCGTTCTGCTTCTTATAAGAACGAATCGACGCGGGAACTGCAGCTTTAGAGCTACGTGTTAATTCAATTGGGCCCACAGTCTGTGGTTGGGTACACTGCATACACGAGCCTTTAATTTTTGCTCAGGCTCATTTTGAGCGGCATGTGAGGGTTCTTGGTGTGTTGGCAGCAGAGGTTTGCAATTTCGCTGGTGAAGCTCCATTGAGGCGCTGCAACTGTTTGTCGATGTTCGTGGCCCAGCACCGACGAGTTTACAGACAGGTCCGAAGTCGATTGCGCCGCATGCTGCCGCATACCAGGGACTTCGGGCGTGGAACAACTACGCAAAGCTAATATTATTTCCGATGCCATTAGTACAGTCTGGAAATTTTGGGGCCGCCAGCGCAAAACTCGGAAAAGTTCATCGTAGTACCTTTACAGAACCCCTTTATATAGATCCATTATAGTAACCCTGTTCTGATCATGCAGGCAATTATACATCCAAAAGACTGAAGCCTCTACAAGAAGCCCTCGAAACTCTAGGTAGGAGGCAAAAACCCTTCGAAACTCTAAGAAAAACAGATTCTATCAATTTCCTGTGCAGTCCGAATAATAAGTACACTATACCACATTATTGAGTCCCAGAATTGATCGGCTTGAGGCGTTGTCGGCGCTCGATGATGCCATGCTGGGTCGCTCAATCAGTGCCGCCCTCTGGACAGCTGACTGATAATACTCAGAGCTGGGTCACCATAAAGGGGGTTTATAAGAGTTCTACATGAGGCACTACAGGAACATATTGGGGTTTATGAAGGGGGCCTTCATTGCAATAGTGACTCGGTGACCCGATTCGCTGGAGGTGAAGATTCATTGCCTCTGGACGTTCGGCACCTACCAGGGGAACCAAGCGCATCTTCAAGTCCCCGGCGGTGTATCGAGCACAGCTGCTACAGTTATCTGCCCAGCTCAGGTCTTCGTAGCCAATGCTGCCGCGAGCTTGGATAAATTACGTGCTGCTGCTGAAGCTATGAAGCTGACATCGAGTCAGCTTTGCTGACGTCCTGCCTGCTGATTTGTTGTTTTGATTGGTTGCTGTTGGTGTGTAGCGATGCTTTGTTTATCTTCATGCAACTTCAGAACACCTTTTTCATGTGCTACTGGGCTTCGCAGAACACCGTACGGCGCCATTGCATCTCAGAATTGTCTAGTTTGGCCTCAGCCGCTTGCGGACCCGCATTCCCAGACTAGAACAGGATAGGGACAGAGACTGCAATGCACGCCTCGTTGTTGTGATGCTGCAATTTGTCTTGGTGTGTTGGGAAATTGTCCGCAAAATCACCCTGCGTGCATGTGTGCTCATTTCCATCGTTGGCGCTTGCTTGTGCACCTGCGTGACTTGTAAGGCCATGAGCGCGTGCGAGCGGTCATTGCAGTGGCAGTGGGCGATGGCCTCGATCAGTTCTCGAGCACTTCGGTAGGTAGGCGTCAAAGTCAAAGAGTGTAACCTGTGTTTGACAGCTTCTATGTCCTGGCTATTTTATACTGGGAGTTCAGGGAAGTTTGGAAGTTTGCGCCTGAACTTGAGGCCCTGCAGCTGATGGATGCAGCTTTCTCCAGCCGGCAGCTAGATCTCAGTGATGGGCCCCGGATCGCGCAAGCGTTGCTTTGAGCCTCCGATTCTGACAGCGTCAATGTCGACCAGACATGATTACAGGGAACCCGGGAGTGTCGTGGTGCAATACATGCACGCATGTATGTATGCATGCAAGTACGTATGTGTATGTAGGTACGTACGTATGTAGGTATGTAGGTACGTACGCCGGATATGTATGTATGTATGTCTTTATGTATGTACGCATGCAAATCCATTCATTCATCCATCCATCCATCCGTCGATCCGTCGACCTCTTCAGTTTCCGCCTGAGGCCCAGACACAGTCACCTTCAACGTCGCTTTGGCATCCTGGGGACAGGGTCAGCCCGACAGCGCAGAAGGTATTCAGGGATCTTAGGCCACTCTTCGGCTTCTGGAAAGCTGCCTATACCTCCAGAGATGCGACATCCAAGCCTGACGCAAGAAGGGCAGCTTTCGGATTCAGAGATTTTGTGGGAAGCTGGACCCTTGGCATCACATGGCAGACTTGGAGATGCCAGGAGAAGATTAGAACGTGAGTTCTGTCTTCCTTGTCTGTGGATGTTTGCAGCTTGCAGTCAGCGCATCCCGTTTAGGGTTGTTGCATTTTGCTCTGCGATTCACGGCCCACCATGCAGCCTTTAATGCTATGTAAGATGTGGTGTAGACTGACTTGGTCTGAAGCTGAGGCCTTTGCGTTTCCTCGGAACTCATCACACCGGGGAATTGATGTCAAGTCACCAGACCCACTGCCTGCAATGAACCATCAGTATTACAGGACACCGCGCTTACCCCAGGCCACTGAATCGGCCTTCTGCATGCTATTCATGCCATGTTTCGCAGTGGTGATTCTATTGAGAGTGCTTATTCTCTGGAGAGCCCGAACGTAGACCCTAAATCCACTAGTGCAGGTTAGGCTTCGAGGGAACTCCCTGCAGTGCGACCTGGGAACAAAACCTGGCCAGAGACTAGAACCATGAGCTCTAATATAGGGACTGGTTCATTACAAATACTACTTTGGGGCTCCTTGTTACAATTATACGGTATATCTCCAGCCTTCATTGAGAGGAAGGCATTGGCACCGAGCGCTGCAGGTACTTGTGCTCGACTCAGACGTTGTTTATTACCTCGCTGTGTTTAGGCTTCATTCGGAGTGCATAGCGACTGCTGACTGCTGGTCTTTTTAACGGCCTGCTGCAAACAGCAAAGGGGTGTAGGGTGTTGAGCTGGCAGTTGCAAAACGAGTGCCATGGATGCCGTATCCCTGCTCATTTCCTGACTGACGATACGTATTACGATGAGTCATATGTTTGTCATGATTTGTCAGCAATCGAAACATGTCTACAGCAGCCTGCCATTGTGATTTGGTGACTTTTGTTGCAATAGCCCCCTGGTGCTTTGCAGGGCAGTGGTCGCATGTGTTTTTGGACTTTGGTAAAGACTTCTGCTCCTGAATCTGCGTGGATAGGGTGGAAGCAGTCAGTATCGAGGGCAGGCTTGGTTCCGTTGCAAACATGGTTGCCATCGGTTTCAATTTGGCTTCAGGGCTGAAGGAATTGCTTTTGAAAAGGCCCAATCGAAGTATCAAATTTCGAGTTCATCCCGGGGGGGGGGGGTGAAGCTGTTCTCATGTTTGGGCACACGAACCGCGCCTCGTGGCCATCTGGCTCTGAAAGCTTGGGTACTTCACGAAGTAGGATTGTACCCAGAGCACCTGCTGAGAGCAGACCTCCGGACCCTGGACTCCGCAGCAAAGTCAACCAATGCACTTCTCACCGAGACTACCTTCCTGGCCAGGTACAAACCCTGATCCACATGCCACAGGCAGTCCTTACTTTAGTGCCGGAGGTCAGCAAACGTTTCACAGCCCCTCGATTTTACTGATTCTGAGGTTGTCCCAGGCCTCCGGCAGTTCTGTTGGGACGACGGGGCGACGACGGGCCTTTTGTTGACATGTGTATAAGTGCTGCTTGATGGTGCGAAGGAGATTTATGTATGCCATCACGAACGGGTGATTACCTGAGACTTGACGCAGAGAGACTCAAGCACACTTCGTTTGTTGCGCTTTCCTGGATACGGCATGAGGAACTTGAATCGGAAAGACAAGGGCGCGACGAGCGATAATTCTGGGTAGGTTCCGGTGCGAGTTCGATTGCTCCAAACAAGCAGCTATCAAGTGCAGTCCTCGTTCCCTTAATTAGTTTTGCGCGGGATCGCGAACGATGCCTTCCAATTTCCAAGCCAGTTCCTGATTGTGTTTATCACATCTATCACTGGGATCCTCTAACCTATAAGGAAACCAGGAGCCACGTTCGAGGATCGAGGTGCTGCGTCCCGCTTGCTGTTGTGAAGACGTCTAGATTTTCAGCGTGCCCTTAGTACAGATGCACGATGGACTGAGCGCCGGAAACCTGAAGACCCCTCAACCCTTCCTAAACCCTGTAGGCCCTGGACAACTGGAGTGCTCGAAACATGCAGGGGAGCATAGCACTAAATCCATGCGGTAACAAAAGCATTCGTAGAAAGCGGGCTCTTGTCAGGCAGGCATGGAGTTTGCCGGCAACCCAAAGCAAGAGACCTTTGCTTATGCAGAAGCTGCTGCGTGGCAGCACTGCCTGTTGTGGCTTCATTCTCGATTTAGGGGTTTGGTTTCGGGAAAAGCTGTACAGTAAACAACGCTTGATGCATCCGTCAGTCTACCGCTCCCACTGTCGCGACAGGGGTGACGAGTACCAATATATTCCGTACTAGTCCGGTACCAGGACGTGG